CCAGTATGAGGAAATAGAGGACGCCCACGTCACACAGAATTAGGAAGGCATCAGGGGCGCCAGGCATAAGGATGCTGCACCTCCTCGAAGAGGCGGGGAAAGGAGAAGAGAGGATCGACCCCACGAACAGAGGGGTTAGTAGGCAGGTTCACCGAGTACACACTACTCACAGCTCCCCACGAGCGCATTCTGTCTGAATGTATCAATTTGGAGTTTCAGAGAGGCAGTGTCCATTTCCAGAAACCGACACCCCTGAAGTCCAACATCGACAAATCCAAATACTGCTGGTTCCACCAAAGTCATGGACACGTCACAGAAGATTTCATCCACCTCAAGGATGCAATTGAGATCCTAATTAAGGAAGGGTACCTGAAACAATACACCCGGAGAGGCGAGGCTCCTTGACAGGAGATCCGCAAAGTCAAGAGGGTCGAGGAAGTGTCACCGCCCTCCGAAGAAGTCGGATTGCAGACCGCCGTGTGTGTCTCCCGACCAGAGGATTTTCTCCTTCTCAACGAGTCCACCACCAGACCATTGTCCGCCCGCAGTTCATGGGAAGACTTCCCTGCCACCTTGGTCATATCTGGCGGGGGCCCCAACAAGCTCTCAGTCGGGCCCATCAAGAGGAAGTTCGAGGAGTTGATTGATAAAATCTCAAAGACGAATGATACCCTCGACAAGTTTAAAGGTCAATTGAACCCGATTACCTTCTACCTCGAGGAGCTCCTCGGGGGTGCACCTAACTCCAGCATCCCCCTCTTGATCAGGGCACATATGGAAAACTTTGATGTGCGTCGTATCCTAGTCGTCCAAGGGAGTTCGATGGACATAATGTATGCCCATCTATTTACGACCCTCCAGCTCGACAAGAGCCACCTGACCCCGTATGTCGGATTTGTTCTATAGGGCTTCAACGACACTACCAAAAAGCCTTGGGGATACGTGGAGCTTCTCGTCACATTCAGAGCCGAGGAGACCACCAGATAGGTGAAGGTCCAATTCTTGGTGATCGAATGTCCTTCTCTCTACCAGTGTATCATGGGAAGGCTAACTTTAATTGAACTGACCACGATGCCATCTACTGTACACCTGAAGATGAAGTACTACACGACTAGAGGACGAGTCGTCACCCTCCACGGGGACATTGAGGCGTTCAGGAGATGTTTCGAGGTAGCAATCAAGGGCCTTAACTCAATCAACTTCACCCCTAAGATGACTGGCAAATCAGCCCGGGCTGCGGAGCAAAAGCCACTATCCCGCATCAACTTCGTCGACCTCAATAGTCAGTTCCTCAGCAAGTAGGAATAGACCGCAGAGTCTGAGGACGCACCTCAGCAGATAATGGGCAGCCTTCCCACCCAATGCGCCCCATTCTAGATGGAGACTTCGAGCTTATCACACTCAGGGAGGACCCAGGAAAAGCCTAAAGATAGGCACTAGACTCCCCGACCTAGCAAGGAAGCAACTAAAAGCCTGCCTCTGGAAGAATGTTGATCTGTTTGTGTGGAGCGCTGCTGAGATGCTCGGCCTCGACCCCTTCACCATAAATTCGACTGCTTGGCTGTAGTCCAACATAGGCGTAGGCAGTCTCCCGAGAAAACGGAGGCTGCTGAAAAAGTTGTAAAAGACCTCTTAGAGGAAAATTTTATATCGGAAGCCCAGTACTCAACTTGGTTGTCCAATGTTATACTAGTTAAAAAACATAATGGAAAATGGAGGATGTGTGTTGACTATACTAATCTCAACCGAACATGTCCAAAAAATGCTTACCCATTATCTAACATTGACAAACTCGTCGACTTTCTGCAGGTTTTAAACTACTGTTCATGGACGCTTACTCGGGGTACAATCAAATCCCCATGGCGAAGGCCGACAAAAAATACACAACCTTCATGACCGATTCGGGAAATTATTACTACAATGTAATGCCCTTCGGTTTAAATAACGTCGGCGCGACCTATCAGCAAATGATGAACAAGGTCTTCTGGAAGAAATCAGGGACATGCTCGAAGTCTACATGAACGACATGATCGTGAAGTCACGAGAAGAAGTCGACCACACCATCCATCTCAAGAAGGTCTTCGAGATTGCGAGGAAGTGCAGAATGAGGTTCAACCATAAAAAGTGTACCTTCAGCGTACGAGCAGGAAAATTCCTCGGATTCTACCTAACGGAACAAGGAATAGAGGAAAATCCAAAAAAATGCAGGGATTTCTACGAGTTCTCTACGCCGAACACAAAGAAGTTCATCCAGTCACTAAACAGGATGCTCGCATTGTTGTCACGTTTCGTCACCAAGTCTGCCTAACACTGTTGTATCCCAAAATTTGCCCTACCTTTTCTCCATCTGGCTTATGTTTCATTTCATTGCATTAGCATATCACATTGCATAAACTACCCCAAATTTGTCCTACTTGTATATATTTCTCATTTATGCATCCTTCCATTCCTCATAGTCAGAAATTTCAAAAGTTGCCAGGTGGAGTCAAGTTTCAGATAGGGGCATGCGTCCTATTCACTTGGTGCATAGTGAATATTTGGACTCATCAAGGTTCAGGATGATATTTGAGTTGGGTACGCCTTCAGTTATATTTCGGGGATTTATTCAAGAAGTTGGATTAAGGAAGGGTTATATGATCATGGGTTTTAATGTATAAACAATTTATGTGGAGACATGGTCTGCCTTCAAGACATAGTTTGATGATGGAAATACTGACAATGCTCATTTATGCTCGAGTCATGAGGATTAAACTAAAGCGCAAGATCCAAAACACTAAGCATGATGGAAAATAACAGTTAGTAATTTCCGGTTGGCAATTTACGACTGTAAGTTTTTCTCAAGGTATATTGAGATTTAATGAGTCATGAGTCGAGTTTTGTTTTTCTCCAAGTCATTGTTCCTTAGGCCATATCGATTATTAAATTGTATTTGTTGGTCAAGGCATATTGTTCCAAGTTATTTAATTTGAAGAAACTTCGGGGTATCCCCAAGAAAATAAGCACTTTCTTAGCAATTTTCAATTATTTCAAGACAATACAATGTGAAGAAAGAAGGTGATCACGTTGAAGCTCATGAATTGGTACAAAATCATTTTTACAATTTTCAAAGGATTCATAGAGGTTCATGCTTTATTTTACAAGGAGGTGTACAAAGATTAAGGACATGGTCATGACATTGGAATCATTTTGATGCTTAATGAGTCATGCTCCAATTCAAGATGTTTTCTTTAAATTTAAATCAAGTTATCCTGGATTAACAAAACAAACAGCATGAAGCATAAGGAAAACACTGGTTTCATTTACAATGTTTGCAAAAAAAAAGCTTCCACCGTGATGCCCCTGCAATTCGTATACAAGTTACGACGAAGCCGGCATCCCGTGAAACCTGCTCCCAAAAGTTCACTCGCTACTTCAAAACAACAAAACTGTTGCTGCCGCTCACGAACGCACTTCACCACCACCGCCATAGCAGATACTGCATTAGAGCGAGTGGCTTCCGAGAATCCGCATCCTTGGAGTTCTCCAACTAAGGGCAATTCCTTTGCTCATTCTATCATGGATAAAGAGTCTCTAACGGCTCCAGGGAAAACCGTTGTTGACAAGTTTCAACTTGTTCCTGAATTCCTTAAGCTACTATGCATCCGCACCTTTATATGAGGTTTATTGATGTCAAAATTGGCAAACCGTCAATAACAGTTGATGGTAGTGTTGAGGATATTAGCCCACAAACATGCAGGCTATCTGACCGAACGTACGCGGCTCCAATAATGGTTGACAGTGAACATACTCAAGGAAGTCCGGATAACCTAAGAAAAGCAAACAAAACTCAGATAAGCATATTCATGTAGAGAGTAGAACAAATAATGAAAGAGAAATCAAGAGAAAATATCAAAGTGTAGGGATAGATCCTTCTCCAGCTTTTGTTTCTTCTGGTTTTCAATTATCAAATCACAGTGTGTTGTCCAGCATGCATGATTTAGCTGCTGCTACTTCACAAAATCCATCCATTGTGAAGCCTCTACCAATGTCATATTTTAATGCGGTATCAAATGGGAAGAATGCCACTGTTGATTCTGTCCAACTGACACAAGCTACCCGCCCTATGAGAAGGCTTTATCTGGAGAATTTACCAGGTTCAGCCTCTGAGAAAGTTGTGATGGATTGTTTCAATAACCTGCTTTTTTCCAGTGTAAATCATGTCCAACAAACTCGGCCATGCATCAGCTGCATTGTGCATAAAGATAGGGGCCAAGCGCTTGTGGAATTCCTTACAGCTGAGGATGCATCAGCTGCCCTTTCGTTTGATGGAAGTACACTATTTGGCTCCATGGTGAAAATTAGACGCCCCAGAGACTATGTTGAATTTGCAACTGATGAACCAGAGCGATAAGTGGAAGTTGTTGTCACAATAAGTGATGTTGTAGTTAATTCACCAAACAAGGTCTTCATTGGCGGAATTTCAAATCACGTTTCTTCGGAGATGCTTATGGAGATTGCTGGCGTGTTTGGATCTTTGAAGGCTTATCACTTTGAGGCTAAGGTCAGCAATAGATGCGCTTTTGTTGAGTATGTGGATCACTCTGTTACTGCCAAAGCTTGTGCTGGTTTGAATGGAATGAAGCTGGGAGGAGAAGTATTAACTGTTGTCCAGGCTATGCCTGATGCATCACCCGTGGAAAATGATGGCAAACCACCATCTTATGGCATTCCAGAGCATGCAAAGCCAATGCTCAGCAAGCCAACAGAAGTACTGGAGATTAAAAATGTGTTCACAGTGGAGTCTATATCGTCTTTATCTGACACTGGAATCGAAGAAATTTTGGAGGATGTACGATTGGAATGTGCAAGATTTGGGACTGTTAAATCAGTTCATGTAGCCAGGCATAGCTATAACAAGACTGTTGTAACCAAATCAGAAGTTATAAAGAATGTGGGTTCTGAAGAAGCTTCTTTAGTCACACACACTGTTACTAAAAATGCAGAATCTAGTTCATCTGAAGATGCTACCACAAAAGCTAAGACAGAATCCAATTATGCAACACTCTCTCTACCATCACCCAGCTCTTATCACTCCTCCTCAGATAGAGCCTATCTTGAGTGGAAATCTGCCTCCTGGATTTGATTCGAGTACATGCCGCAGTGTTTATGTAGGCAACATTCATCCTCAGGTTTCAGAACCACTTCTTCAAGAGCTTTTTTTCAAGTGCTGGCGCGCTTGAAGGTTGCAAGCTTATTCGAAAAGAGAAGTCATCATATGGATTCGTCGACTACTTTGATCGCAGTTCAGCTGCTATTGCTATTGTTACTCTCAACGGAAGGAATATTTTTGGACAGGCTATTAAAGTTAACTGGGCTTATGCTCGTGGCCAGAGAGAAGACACTTCAGGACACTTTCATATTTTTGTTGGTGACCTTAGTCCCGAGGTTACAGATGCAACTCTGTATGCTTGCTTCTCTGTGTATTCTAGTTGCTCAGATGCAAGGGTAATGTGGGATCAGAAGACAGGCCGATCCAGGGGATTTGGATTTGTTTCTTTTCGAAATCAGCAGGAAGCCCAAAGTGCCATAAACGAGTTAACTGGTAAATGGCTTGGCAGTAGACAAATTCGTTGTAACTAGGCCACAAAAGGAGCTAATACCAATGATGAAAATCAGAGTTCAGATTGCAAAGCTGTTGTGGAGTTAACTAGTGGAGTTTTTGGGGAGATCACAGAAGAACGACAAGAAATTACCGGTGATGACGGTCCTGAGAAGAATCCCCAATACACCACTGTTTATGTTGGCAATCTTGCTCCAGAGGTTACTTCTGTCGATCTCCATCATCATTTTCATGCCCTCGGTGTTGGAACTATTGAAGATGTTAGGGTGCAACGGGATAAAGGTTTTGGGTTTGTGAGATACAGTACCCATGGTGAAGCAGCTCTTGCTTCTGTTCGGTAAACCTATCAAGTGCTCATGGGGTAGCAAGCCAACTCCTCCAGGAACAGGAAAAACACATACAGTATGGGGAATGTTGAATGTCATTCACCTTGTGCAGTATCAACACTACTACACCTCCTTGCTTAAGCATGTAGCTCCTGAAAGCTACAAACATGCTAATGAGCTCAATTCAGAGAATCCCCCCCCCCCCACAGGATCTATTGATGAAGTTCTTCAAAATATGGATCAAAATCTTTTAAGAACTTTTCCTAAACTAGTCCCAAAGCCTAGAATGTTAGTTTGTGCTCCTTCTAATGCTGCCACTGATGAGCTTCTTTCCCGTGTTCTTGATCGTGGATTTATTGACGGAGATGAAAGCTGAAGCGTTAGGCGAGGGGACGGAAGCGGATGTGTTGTTGACCATGAGTGTGTTGACAGAAGAAGGCGTGATCGCGGTGAAAAATGCAGCTTGTGAGAGGTTGCTGAATCAGAGGGTGGAGACAAAGATGAAGTCTAAGAAAATCAATGACTATCTGAACAGGTTTCATGTTGCAGTTCCGAAGGCACATGAACAGAAAGGAAGCCCGCTGGATTTTCATACTTCCAGGATCATGATAAACCTACAAAGAAATTAAATATATCAGTAAAATTGTTGTGTTACCACAGTGAAAATCATGAGTTAAAACAGACAATTTCAAAAGCTACAAACAGACAAAGATTATGCTGTTTTCAATCCCACAATTTCAGTCCTTGCTCCCATCACCAAAAAGGTAACTCATTTTCTTTCCCAAAAGAGAACAGACCCAAAGTTCCCACAATTTCTCTAAACTAAACCCTAAATCTCACATCATGAAGCCCCCATATATATTGGTTACTATTCATCCAACAAAAAAACCCTAACAGAAAAAACAGCTGCTTTTCTCTCACAACTCACCTCCATCACAAAGAACTGAAAAAAGAGGAGATTGAAGAAGGAGCTCACCTGTGTTCTGTATCAACAATCTGGTGGTATTGCTCCTACTCTGTAAGTATTCTGTTACTCTTCCTGTCTTTATAGTCTTGGTCTGCATTATTTGGACTGTCTTGTTTCCTGTCTTCATAGTCTTCATAATCTTGCTAGAAAATCCTCAAACACCGTCAATGTTCTTCTTAACTCACCTCATCTTTAACCCAAAGTCACCATGCTCACGAAACTACCTCCATAACCGAACTTCACATAACCACTCAAACCTTCCTCCAACCTTCTCCAACTTCAACTTCGGAATCCATACCCAGAATACTCACTTCATCACCATTCTCAAACTCAGAGGTTTCAAAACCTACTAACCCATTTCATATTTCTGCAAACTCATCCGCCAATGATTCAAACCCCTTCAACCTCCACCTGAAACAACTGTAACACCTTCTCCGAAACCCTTCACCATCTTCATGCACCCGTAAAAACCCGTCGCTGGAAACTCAACCGAAGCTCGCCAAAACATCACTCGCCTTCTTCGTTCAACCTTCAGAACACCGTGAACCATTCTCAATCGACCCAGATTTTATCATCACCCTTTTCACAACGTAAACCCCCAAATCCCTTAACCCAAAACTTTCCGTCACCGCTCAACAAAACCAACAAACTTCCGCCACAAATCCAAATCGCAAACCCTTCAGATCAAGAGAGAAATGAAAAACCGAATCAGAGAGATTGAGAGTGAGAAACGATGAAACAGAGAGAGATAGTTTGGGTTGAAAAGTGAGGAAGACGAGCGTTTTGTTTATTTGTTTTGATTGGGAGCTTTGGGTTTCGAAGCCCGTTTATGTTCTTTTGGTACTGTACCCCTCATATCATCCAACACGCACCCTCTCCTTGTTTTTCTCCGTTATTAACTTTTTTAAAAAAATTATTTATTTATTTATTTTTCCTTCTTTTAATTTGTTAATATAATGTATTTCAGTCTATATTTATGTAACTATATTGTTGAAACGTATTTTTACTTATGGTTCTTATTAATTATGTATTAGTTTCTTTCAAAATAGTTTGTATATACATAAGTTTATTTTATATTTAACATTCTGAAAATTTTTGTTTATTTTATTTTCCATATTTATGTATACATGAAGTTTTTAAATCCAACTTTCTAGGAAAAGTTCATAAATATTTTCTATTGAAATTTGAATTTTAAAATTTACATATTGTGGATATTAGATGTTGTTCCTCATTTACATTTAAGCTTTCTATCCCATTTCCCTCGTTCGGGTCGATGACGAAAGTTCCATAAATCGATTACTGAATCAATATATTGATAAGTATCGTTGGATCTGAGACCACCCCTTTTCTCTCTTCATTACTTGTCCCGACTCGATTCAAAAACTTTGTTAAACAATTTTCAAAATCAAATTATCTTTGTATTGAATTAAAAAGAGGGGATTAAGTGTAGACTTTCTTCCTCTCCGAGTGTTGGGGATGCCCACTGTAGTGAGGGTGGTTCTGACACTCGTCTTTCAATACGAAGACGCTTCCCGTCCATTTTCAAATCTCATCTCCTTAAAATCATTTCTTTGTGTTGAGCTAAAAAGAGGATTGGGTGTAGACCCCTTCTTCTCCGAGCGTAGGGATGCCCACTGTAGTGAGGGTGGTCTCGATGCTCGTCTGTCAATACAAAGACGCTTCCACCCCTTTTTGCTCTTAAAACCTCGGTCTCATACCGAGTCCATTTTCAAACCATAATAAATCAATTTCTCTTTGTATTGAATTAAAGAGAGAGGATTGGGTGTAGACCTCTTCTTCTCCGAGTGTTGGGATGCCCACTGTAGTGAGGGTGTTCTCGATACTCGTCTTTCAATAAGAAAATGCGACTTTATCCACCATCTTGCTTTCACAACTTCATCCCGCAACCCTTGTCACCTAAAACCTCGGTCCTGTACCGAGTGCATTTTCATTTCCTTTTCATAACAAAAACTTGAATGGTCGTGGAGTGGTTAAGCGTAGGCCTTCTCCTATCCCGAGTGCTGACGTTTACCGTAGGGTTCTCTGTCGCAAAGCACTTACCATTCAAAACCAAAAACATCATTAATAAGAAAACGAAGTTCTCTTTGCATTGAATTAAAGAGAGAGGATTAAGTGTAGTCTTTCTTCCTCTCCGAGTATTGGGATGCCCACTGTAGTGAGGGTGGTTTCGACACTCGTCTTTCAATACGAAGACGCCTCGTTCGCCACACCTTTTTATAACAAAAGTTTTGAGATAACGAATTGGGTACTACCCGTAGGGGTTACTATCCGAGGACCTGTCTCGCCCCCTAAAAAACAATCCAATCAATCAAACGTGACTTCTTGCCCCGCGTGGCGAAAACTAATCAATCTTTCAAAAAGGATATGTTACGTCCGTTCTACCGCAAACAGGTAACGCCTAAGTCTCCAACGAGCGAGCAGCAAAACACCTAACTGCTGGAATGCGCACGATAGCATCATCCGTAAAAAAAAAACATCAACACACCGTTAGCACGAACTACGTTTGCTCTGATTTCTCATGTCAGATGAGAATACGTAGGCACAAGACGGCGATGTCTTGGCGAGCTCCCCTTTTCACCTTTCACCCGTAGTTTCCCGAACTACGTCGACTATGATTTTCTCATATCTGTTGAGAATACGTAGGCATAGGACTGCGAAGTCCTACCGAGTCTGTTCTTTCTCTTTTCTCCCCCGTTCTCTCTTTCCTCCTAACTTTCTTGTTTCTAACCCTTCTTTTACCCCGTGGAACACTTCTTATAGCATAATGTTTAAGCAAATAAATTCACATCGACAAACAAAAGGTTCCCATCGAGTACGATGGATGTGAGGGGTGCTAATACCTTCCCCTCGCATAACCGGCTTCCGAACCCGTTCATGGTTGCGAGACCATCTTATCCATTCTTTTCTTAAGGTTTTATCGATATTTCCCTTTCCCCTCATGGGATAAATAAAGTTCGGTGGCGACTCTTCTATCTATTTCTTTTCGCCTCCCCGTCGTTGCGCGATGCATTTTTCGAGTAGCGACAGCTGGCGACTCTGCTGGGGAAAAAAATTACTCCTAGCAAGCCAGGCCTATTTTGTTTATCATGTTTGTGTCTTTACTTGTTTTATTTATTTATGCTTTATTTTCTAACTGTTGGGTTTATTTGATTTGGTTTGTGAGGATGAAGCTTTCGAGCACACACTAAGTTAGGAGGTGGATTCTTTCTGATTTGCGAGACTTAGGACTCGTTGAGTTGGATTGAATATCACCGCTCAGATGAGGCTCCGTTGGAATAATCATGTCTTACATGTAGTCGTAATGGC